AACTTGATTTCTCTTTTGGAAGTCCTTTCAGGAGATACTTTAGTGAGTTCCTTAATTTTAATGCAACCTTTTTACAGATTTAATTGATATTTGTTCTTATCTTAGTTCAGCATTTCTTTAATGCATTGTTTCCATAACTGGAAGGTGGGGGGAGAGGGGAGGGATCAGAATGTCTCATAATTAGTAACCTAATATTTTTTGTTGTTCCTCTAGAAAAACTATTTTTTCTAAAGCAGTTATCTTTTCATTTTTTATGATTTTTTATGATTTTTTTAAAACCCTCCAAATATTTTTTTTTCTAATTAAAAATAATTGTGTTACAGTATTGCTCCCACTGTAATTGTCTAACATTCCCCTCTGATATCGTGTCCTTTCCTTTCATTGTGAACATTCCTCTCTCCTCTGCTTGGCACTTACTCCCTTCATTATGTTCTTCTGTTCATATTCTTCTCTTCATTTGTGGTCTGTCTTGTGTCTTTGCTCTCCTATCTCCTGTCTGTGTTTATTAGCCAAGGGAGCGAGATTTTTTGAAGACCTTACGGTTGGTGAGTTCAACAGAAGCATGCCCGTTTGAACAGCATGAGGAGGATGAGGATAAGGGGGTAGGTGCCGACCCCCATAACTCTACTAATACAGTTTGTGAAGAGTGGTGATTGCTAATGTACTAAAGTAATGTTTAGGTGTGATGGGGTGCAATATCTTCATTAGAAAGAATTGGATGGTGGGGTTGGCATTATGGGGAATGCTTCTAATCTAGAATAATGTGAGCGGTGCCAATAACTTGTATGGATCCCCATGAACTGCATTGGGAAGGTTATAAAAAAAATTGCCAGACTAGATATCTGTTTATTGTACTATATGTCCATTATTAAATGGCAAACATTTAGAGGACATATATTTATTTTGCAAAGATGCACCAACTGTACGAATAATAAGCATGGATAGATGTTGCTACAAATTTAGCGAAACAGCTCTTGTGTTTGTGATTTTGATTTCAATTATGACAATATACTTGCATTACAAAATTCACAAGGCATTTGAACTGGAACAGTACAGAGCTCTGTCCATTATGGTAAAGGTTTGTGAAAAATCTAAAGTTGGGAAGAAAGGCATTGATATTTTGTCATGTAAATGCAACTTTCCCCCCCCCCCCTTTATTCTCTGGTAGTTAAGCGAATGGGGTCTTTTTCTCTGTTGAGTTTTCCTCTTTGTGATTTTTATACTAACTGCATGCATTTTGCCACGTTTCTCATTAATCTGCTGGATATTTTTTGGTTTTCTATAATAACTTATTCTTTCTTCATGACTGTTGTGTAAGTATTTTTAAGAAAAAGATTACACATTTTTATGATGGCGCTGAAGATTCTGGAATATAAAAATATGTAATTCGATGGCTAAACGTAAGCAATGTTACATCATTCAGAATTGGTCAGCTGTAAACTTTTGTTTTCCTGAAAGGCATTGATATTTGTTTATATAAAGGCAAAAATTGATGGGACATACTAACCAGATCCATGAACTTTTTTGAGTAATCTGTATGCCCTTCCAAATTTTCATGAATATTTCCCGTGTGTATCTTGAGAACCAACTTTCTGGTTTATTCTATTTAAAGTCTTAGTATACATCCCAAAATGCAAACAAACAAAACCACGAAACAATGCCCCCCTCTGAAGAAGTTAATATGACAATCATGGTGACAAAGCTTGGCTCTTATAGCTCGATTTCTAAAAAAAAATCTCCACTATATGGGAAGTATATATTTCACACAATTTCTTAGGTCAGAACAAAATGCATTTCTGTTCTTTAATCTACTGGGGTTTGGTAGACTGAACATTAGCTATATTATGCTGTTTACTGTGCTGGTAGACTCTTCCCTATTCATAGATTCATGCCTTTGATGTATTTTTGATGTGTCTCAGCAAATATTATTTTTTACTTAGTTTGTATTTACTTAATTAGAATTATACAGGAAGTTCTACATAGTTATTAATTGAAACTACTTGACAATTTCTCTTGATAGCTTACCTGCCTGTCCCTCTAAACAGTTTTAAAAACTTTAATATTCTGGATAGTTTGAGAAAGGGATTACCATAAGAACAGCTTTTTTTAAAGGGGAAAAAAAACCACACTCCCCAGAAGCACTTTTCACTCCAGAAGCAAAGTACTTTCAACATGTTTCACACCATATTCCCAAACTGCTGATTAAGCTTAAATGAACTTTAAAAGAAATTTATGGGTTTGGTGAGGTAAGCTGGATCATAATTTGTGCTTAAACTGCTTACAGGAACAGTAAAAATGAAATACCTTTAAGTCCCATTAATTTCAGTTGGCAAGAATTGGAACGCTTTTCATTCTGCGATTGAAATTAATGAAACTGAAACATGTATCATGTTAGAGTATCCTGGCGCACTAAGTAGATCGGGTAGTTGCAATGTTGCTGCCTTAATTATATTTATTTTACCCATTAATGAATCACATGGAAAGAAATAAGCCACAGGGGGAAAAGGGACATTCGTAAAGTTTAAACTTGAGTTGCTTTTTTGCAGATCCATTACATTTCACGCAGATCTCTTTATTTGGTTGTTGGTAATTTCCAGTGATATTCTTGGAATGTTTAAAATATTATAGGAATATAAGGTCTGAAAATATTTGTGGAATTTTATAGAAATTCGTATTTTCCCCATTTTTCTGATTTTAGCCCAGAGAGAAAGGACGGATGCGATTTCATAGACTACAGAATGTCCAAATTGCACTTGATTATTTGAAAAGGCGGCAGGTAAGATATTATATTTAAGAAACAAAATTGAAACATTAATTTTTGAAATAATACCTTCTACATTTTTATCTCTGTGTTATTTAGTTCTTGAAATATTTATTACTTATCATATTGCTGATGTTAATCTTATTGGCTGTCCTTAGAAATCCTAATGTTCCTCATCGGTCTTTTTTCTTTAGCAATGTACTGAATCATACATCATCTTACCCTGTCTTGTTTTTTCCCCTTTCAGAATAGGAAAAATCAATATTACTAATGTTTCTAATACTGTAGCTCGGAAGTAAAAGGAAAGAAAGTACTGTATATGAGAGCATGTAAATTCCTTTTTAGACTGAAATCTCATTTACTTTAGGAATAATTTTTGGCAAACTCAGTAGGTGCGATTGCTGAGTAATTGTGAATAGGATTGCTAGATTCCATGGATTTCCATCAGTACGCTGATGATACTCAGCTGTACATTTCCACCCCAGGCCACCCCAACGATGCCCTTGACGTGATGGCCCGTTGCCTGGAGGCCGTACGGGTCTGGATGGGGAAGAACAGACTCAGGCTCAACCCTTCCAAGACCGAGTGGCTGTGGTTTCCGGCGCCTCGGCATAGTCAGCTGATGCCATCGTT